ACAAAGTATCATAGGTTGGGGTGGCTTAACCAACAAACATGTATGGAAGCTAGAAAGTCCAAGCTCCCGGTGCCAACAGATTCAGTGTTTGGTGAGGGCAGACAGCAGTCTTCTCACTGTGTCCTCACCAGGCAGAGGAAAGAAGAAAGCTCCCTAGGGACTCCCCCCCCCCGACTTTTTTTTTGCAGCTGTCATTGTTTTAGTTGGCCCAGGCCGGTTTCAAACCCACCACCCACCAGCAGTGGCTGGTGCCCTGCTGACTGAACTACAGGCACTGTCCTTTTCACTGTTTTTATATCACGGCACACTTGAACCTATAGTTAAACTTCTGTGGCACACTTATGTTGATAAAAAAAGAAAAGGGTTAAAAAGAATATACTTACTGTGCTTTGAAATTCTTTTGAAAATAATTTAATGAATGACCAGGAGCTAATAAACACTTTTCGTGGCACACCAGTAGAAAACCACTGATGTAGAGAACCAGGGTGAAATAAGCGGTCTGATGGCTCCTGGTGCCCCGCTCCTGGGTGCTGATGGCTCCTGGTGCCCTGCTCCTGGGTGCTGACAGCTCCTGGGTACTGATGGCTTCTGGGTGCTGACAGCTCCTGGGTGCTGACAGCTCCTGGGGCCCGACACCTCCGGGCGCACGGCTCCTGAGTGCTGACGGCTCCTGGGTACTGATGACTCCTAGGTGCTGACGGCTCCTGGGTGCTGACAGCTCCTGGGTGCTGACGGCTCCTGATGCCTCGCTCCTGGGTGCTGACAGCTCCTGGGTGCTGATGACTCCCAGGTGTTGACGGCTCCTGGGTGCTGATAGGTCCTGATGCCCTGCTCCTGGGTGCTGACGGCTCCTGAGTGCTGACGGCTCCTGGGTGCTGACGACTCCTAGGTGCTGACGGCTCCTGGGTGCTGACAGCTCCTGGGTGCTGATGGCTCCTGATGCCCCGGTCCTGGGTGCTGATGGCTCCTGGTGCCCCGCTCCTGGGTACTAACAGCTCTTGGCGCCCTGCTCCTGGGTGCTGACTACCATGAGTCTTTCTTCAGGTGGGACGGTGGGGGTGTCCTGATGGTTCAGGAAAGGTCTCTGAAGCACCTCACTTTCCTGTTCACCTCTCTGTCCCTCCAGGTGCTGCTGTCCGGACTCATCGGTGTCGTTTCCTGGAAGAGGCCCCTCTCCCTCGTGGTGAGTTGCATGTATGTCCCCAGGCGACCATGGAGCAGGTCCCACCTTCAGAGGTGTGAGCATGTCAGAGGCAGTGGCGAAGAGAGTGCCAGATTTTCTGTAGAACTTTATGTGACTATAACCACTGAGTGCGGCTGGGGTCCTAAGTGAGACCCCCAGTGCACCCTACGGGCAGCCCTTCTGGGAATGAGCTTTCGGTGTTTTCCTAAGACGCTCCAAGGACATCAGCTTTTTGTCTGGTTTGTTTTGGGGGCGACCTGTAAGGACAGGCCACAGGCAGAGACCTCGGAAAGTGTGCATGCAGGCATTAGCTCTGGACATTCCGACCTGTCTGTCCATGCTTATATGTGATCACATGAACAGGACACATTTTATCAGAGTTCAAGCAATGTTAGATTTCTGTGTGTGTTGGAGACTGTAAAATTCTGTGAGAGTGAGATGAGCAGTTATTCTGAATTGCTGTGGCATTGTGCTGAGAAGTAGGCCACATGGGAGACAAAAAGAGGATGATTTTTCCCTCTGAAAAGTACCCTGAGCAGATTTGTGTCTCTTGATTTGTACGCCTGTCCTTCTCGGTGTGTGCATTAATATATTCATGTGTCCGTGTCGGGGACACAGGAAGAGATTTTCCAGGTGGTGGTTGGTAATGAAGATGACAGCGTGGCGTTTTCTTCTTTTATATTAATCAATTATTTAAAATCTCTTCTTTAAGTGATTAGACTTGGACATAATGACACGTACTAAATATTAATGGAAATAGAAAAAAACCCACATTTGTCTGCTGAAAACACCTCCTTCACAGGAGAAAGCGTGACACGCTGCCATGGTTATCGGGGAAGAGCAGAGTGACCTTACCTTCTGCTGTATCTCAGCGCCTGCGAGATTTCCTTTGTAAAAATATATTTTTTATTTAGAAATTGTAAATTCAAAAGTAGAGTCTGGTATAATGAGCACCCTTCATCTGGATTCAACAGATGTCAACACCCTGCCAGTCTTTTTTTTTTTTTTTTTTTTTGAGACAGTCCCTCAGTCTGGGGGAGAAGTCTGAGGATATAAACTGAAGCT